CGCCCAGGGTCCGCGAATTCGTGTACGTGGTTGCCAGACTTTACGAAGCCAGTTTTTCGGTTCCATTAATGTGAACCACAAAAATACCATACAACAGCTAACAAACTGTGGGGCGGGTCTGTCATACACTTACTCTTAGCCAGAGCCAAGCCCATGCCCAGGGCTGATTGGTCACGTGCCTGGCGCACGGTGCTGGGCTTTAATTCGTTGTGATTGCTTTGTATCGATTACAAAATGCATTACAACATTGCCACATGATAAATAACATCGCATGGGCGTTTCTTGGTGGAACTGGAGATGTGGAGATGTGGGCGGAGTCTGGCATAAGCGTGCCCCGGCACTTAAAATTAATGAAAACAATGAGCATCAATGGCATCCAATGCGTGCTCAACATATTTAAATTCACTCGATCATATGTCAAGTGCTTTATTATTGATTACATTTTAAGGGATTGAAAGGGAAACAAAAATCATCGATCAAAACTTTGTAATTGACAGTTAAAGAAAACGCTTGCTATTAGGCAAGTGCCTTTAGGATTCGAACCCCCAACCCCCCGTGAAGCCGAAAACCAAGGCAGCAAAAGAGCGGCAATTTATCTGCCTGAATTTGACGCGAATAGCACAAACAATTACGGAAACGCCGGGTAACTTCTTCTAGTTCATACATAAAACATACAACAAGCAAATGTAATTTTATGGCAAGTTCTTATTTTTATACCCTCAACCAATTGAAAATGGGTAAATGGGTATAATGCTTACTTACACATGTATGTAACAAGTAGTAGGAGAGAGAGAGAGAGAGAGAGAGAGAGAGAGACTCAAAAACGTTGGTGCCATTGTACGCGCAGGAGGAGTTTGCTAGCGATAATCGATAACTTGTCCCGTTTCCAAGAAATCGAAAACAATCGACATCGATATCCTCTTTTTTGAACGAATCTCTTAGGTTTTAAGAGCTACAACCACCAACTTTGACATGTTGCTTTCAGAATAGTGTATAAAGATCGAGAATCTTGCATTTCATAGCTCCCGCCACCAAGAATCTTTAGTGTATCTCCTAATCGGGCACTCCCGACAGCTTGCTTACATGTGGTAAATGTTTCAAAGCTACAAATTAATTTGCCACAAATATTGCTTAGCTCTAGTCTAAGTTCTAAGCCACTTCCATATTCTTTCTTTGCAGAATTTGCTGAGTCCCTTTCGATTTACTGACGTAATGTGTAATAATATTGATAATATTGTTAAGAATGGTATTATTTTGTTTATTTTGATTTGAAAGTAATATGAAAGTAGTTTTGCTTAGTAAAATTCTGTTCTTCTGGTCTTCTCCAGAAACCTGATAGTATTTACATATCTCTCATAGCGGTCCTATAGTGCATAGAAGGAAATTGGGGAAAAGCTAAGGTATTATATCTTTGGCAAACCGACAATAACTGTTCTTATACTCTCTCTCTCACTGCCGCTCTTCTTCTGGCTTTCTCCATTCCTCTCTTTCGCTCCCTTTCTCCCTCTGCCCGCTTTCATCAATTGCCATTCTCTTTGCTCAGTGTGACCATGTGCTATTAATAACAAATGAAATTGCCGCCAGGCTAATGCACAGCACTTTGCCAAGTTGTCCACAACGCAGTGTGACAGCTGTTGTTGTTGCTTGTTGTTGTTGTTGTTGCTCGTTGTTGTTAATACCATTAAGCCACACGTGCCATTGTTTTTTTTTTTTTGCAAATATTGTTGCTGCTGTTGCCATGGCACAAAAATAAATGCAACGACGTGATTATTATGCAATTTGTATCAATTTACTTTAGATATGGCACACAGCAACAATATCTACTCCTCCACCACCCGCGCCCTTTGCGAGTGCTTCAAATTGTTGTTTATTTATGCATTTCACTTATTGCATGCAACTCTTGTTTCCCACCCCCGCTGAGCTAATTCTTAATGCCTCAAAAGGCCGCCCTTAAGTTGGCTTTATTACAAATGGGAATTATTATTGATATAAGTGTTGGTGGTGGTCGAGTGTGCGTGTGAGTGTGAGTGTGTGTGTGTGTTTTACGTACAGCTGAAACAACATGAAAGAACTTGTCCCAACTCCTGGGAGAAGCTTTGATGCTGACCGAGCGGGGTTGGCAGGGAAACTCACTTAAGACATTGCCGCAACGTGCCGAAAGTTTTCTGATGCTTGGACAAGCGCCTGTCACACGCATCCTCCAACCACCCAAGCACCACAAACGACACACACACACACACACACACACACCACCACCACCATACAACATTACCCCTGCTCCCCTTCCCACTGCGCTGGGCACTGTCACTTGTGTCTCTCAAGTTTATTAAAGTGGCATAAAAGTGTCATTGGCGGTTAATGGTAGGCGATTAGTTGCATTAAGTTGACCAGCACCACCCACTCAAGACAGCGCCAATCACTTTCTTTCTCCGCCCCCCCCCCCCCCCCCCCCCCCCCACCTCATCAAGTGAGTGCGTAATTGAATAGAAAACGCAGCACAACTATCTCGGAGCAATTTGGTGCTACGGGACATTGCCTGCCTTAATTTGGTTGACAATCAATCAGTTAATTGAAGGTCAACGCTATCGATTGCTGGCTATTCAGTTACTTATTTAGCAATATATAGTTAAATAGTTGCTAACTTGATCTTTAGAAAGCTTTTACAGCTGCGTACAGTTTACGTGCACGTGTGCGCACATGTGAAAGATTTCCCTTTACTAAACTGTTTGTGAATTATAAAATGTTATATGAGCGGCTCATGATGAAGGGACAACAGCTTAGTTATTTAACTATATGTTAGCTTAAATAACTAGTTAAGCTTTGGAATTTTTAGGCTTCCTTCAATGTGCGTTTGCCCGAAAACTTAAACATCTGGGAAATAAATACATAGCTATAAGTGGATGTCGCGTATAAATTTAAAAAAGATAGCAAAACAGACTTTTGCTATAAGTGTAAATTTGTATTGCCAGCCAAGAGGCTGGCAGCTAAAAACTCGGCACGATAACGTGGCAGAACTTATTGAAAAGTCATAAGAGCCATAATATACAAAAAAATGTCATTGCACAGGCATAAGGGCGCTACCAAAAAGGGTGTGTCTACGACGGCGGGTGGGCGTGGCAAAAGCTTTAACTTGTCGCAAAAGCCGCATAAAATAAATACAACGTGTAAGGTGGCAGAAGGACGAAAGGCGGCCGGGAGCGCTGGCAAATGGGATAACCTGATACACATTATGCCAATGCGATATACTCGAAAGCAACGAAATTGTTTTTGGCCTCGTCTTCGTCTGGTCGGGCTTTTGCTTTTGTAAATCATTTAACACGCTCTCGATTTTTATTTTAATGGCATTGCCGGAAAGTTTTTAATGGCTAACGCAACGGCAGCCGCAGCTCAACTACAGCAACAACAGACTTCGGTTTCGAGCCCTCGCATTATGGCCATCGATAATATGCACAGTGTTTGGCTAAGTGGCAGGCATCGAGGTATCAAAGTTCCTTTATGGCATGCCACAGCGCTCTCAAGATGTTGCCAACTCCCATTGCGAGCGATGTGTGCCTGCCTGTGTGTATGTGTGCGTGTGCGTGTGCGTGTGCGTGTGTATTGAATTATTTTCTGGCAACGTTCGCAAATGTTTATTGCTCAGCATATTTCGCAATTTTTGATGCTTGTGAATTTGCTGAGCTTTATATACAACTTCTCAAGCACTATACAATTGTTTTTACGATCGCAATAACGCATATTTTTTGTTGGCCAGTAAAATGTTTGCGAATGCCGCTCAAGAGGGAATTGAAACAAAACTAGACATTCACAATTTGTGCAAATTTAATGTATTCTATAGCCCAATATGTCAGCAGAGCGTTTAAGAATGCTGCGCAAAAATAAATGGAATGAAAGAAAAAGAGACTAAGCAATTAATTGAACTCAGGGCATATATTCGGTTAAGTGTTGACTAAATTTCAACTTGCTTGTGTCCTCTTCTCTCTCATTCTTTCTTTTCCCCTCTCTTACGCTCTTTCCGGCAATGCCTTGCAGCTTGCATATGTGATATGCACAGGCGTCAAATGTTAGCGGCAATGTCAGCACCAAAAGTCCTGCAGGAGCGCCCCGTGTGCAACTCATGAAATCGCAATGCATGCAGCGCACACTTTGCTGTGTATGTGTATTTGTGAGTGTTAGTGTGTGTGTGTGTGTGTGTTAATGATAATCATGAATATTATGCTGCTTGTTTGGTGTGTATTTTGGGCTCTGGACAAACTGTTTGCCTGTTTGCCCAACACAATGTTAATATGCTGAGCCAGCGTCCCAAAAGCCAAACCACCGGGCGCATTGTTTAAATATTTGATTAGTTTTGGCTTTGGCCAGGAGTCATTTTTGCCTAAATACACATTTTTCTATATACCCTGTAGCGTCTCGTTCAATGTTCACCAATTTATTTTCCTCTTAACAATGTGAATAAATTATTATTTTTTAAGTCATAACCTGGCGCATTGGCGTGTGCACGCAATTGTGATGCCATTATTTGGCACTGGAAATTTCATGAAAAATTGGACCATAAATAATTTTTCAGTGAGGGCAGAAGAAGAGTACAGCTGCGTTCTTGTGTATGTCTGTAGAGATGGCGCTAAAATGTGTGTATAGGGTATCTTCTAGTCAAGCACTCCCCGCTAGAGCAGTCTCACTAGTTTTTTTTTTTGACTGTGTTTTGTCGAAAGACTTTTGTGCGCAATAAAATCAACTTAATTAAAGTTAAACAAGCAGCTAATCAAATTTTCATTACATAGTCTTAACCGGCTGCCAGACCCAGCGCCAGCCCCTTCAGCTCCAGACAGTTAACTAAACGTGGCGTAATTTCACTTTAAAAATGCATGCTGTGCATGTGAGTGCTTGTGCGAGCTTCTGTGTGTGTGTGTGTGTGTGTGTGTGTGTGTGCGAGATTGTGTTTGTGGTTAACATGAAACTATTAGCTGCTCCTCGGAAAGGAACTGACAGAGTTTGGCGAAATGTTTGCTTGCTTTCGGCTTTATTTTCGCCCAGTATAGGGTTTTGTGACATTTGTATTTGAAATACCCTATTAAAAATGGATAAGTTAGTTTATATGGGAAATATCAGTGATATGTCCTTATATATATCTCTGATATTATAACAATGGGTATAGGGTATATACCAGTCGCTCACTCCCGACACTCTCGCCATAAATGATATTTAATTTTTGTGCTGCTCTCCAAGACGCAGGTGCATTACAATGTGCAGCAGGTGGCGGTCTTGGCTTGACCATATATTGTTCCGCACACACACTCCCACCTGCTTAAGTGCTCAACTCAGTATTACAGATGACAACTGCTCGCTGGCACCTTGGAGCCACCAGGCGCGCCACATGGTTGGCGTGCGAGACTCGTAATCATCGACATTGTAGTGCTCGATCTCCTCGTCGCAGCTCCAGCTCCCGAGAATGTTGGGTCGCTCCGCCAGGCTCGCGTTGGAGCTGAGATTGTGAGAGCTGTTGTTGTGCGGCTGTGTGGTGATTGTGATCATCAGCTCGGGTGTCAGGTCCTTCAGCTGCAGCTCCTGGCACTGCTGCTGGTTGCCCGCTGCCGAGGCGCTGCCATAGCAGCAGCAGCAGCAGCGACAGATCTTGAGACACATTATGGGTGAAAGGCAGGGCTAAACGGGGGAAACTGGAATGAAGCAAGAAAAATGGCTATGTGAAGGAAATGTGTCACAATGGAAGAGCTAAAAAGGAAAAAAGTCAGGGGGAGGGAAGAAAAGGGAAATAGAGGTTAGACAAAGAGCAGAAAAAATGATGAAGATATCACAAAATTTGCATGATTAAAAGGAATTAACAGCTACAACGAGAGAGAGAGAGAGAGAGAGAGGGAAAGAGAGAAAAAGAGAGAGAAAAAGAGAGAGAGAGAGAGTCAGTCTTTAACCAACTATAGTTTATAAATCAATTAGATTATACTGAAGTGTAAAAAGTGGAAATAAATTATAACAAAGAGAAGAGAGGGTTAGAGATAAAAGGAGAGCAAACCTGAGAGTAAGCTGAATAGAAAGAGAGAAAGAGAAAAGCAGAGCAAAAATGAGCTCAATAAATGTTAATAACTTACACAAACAATAGATGATCACTGGGAATCGCAGAGCGAGGAACTCTGCCGCGAGTAGCAGGAAAAACTAAACTGGTAACTCTCGAAATCTGTGCATCTAAGTCTGCAGACTGGAGAGGAGGTAGAGGGTAGATCGGCAGTTCTCCAAAACTCTTCAGCAGCGCATTGGCCCACGTCTCTGTGGGGCGATTGTGGCAAGCGAGTGTTGAGACTGTTGCAAGGCGCCGTTGCATGGCAACGTTTTATATGGACGCGACCAGAAATCTAACTAGACTTGCCTGCCACCACACCAGAAGCAATTCTCATGTTTACAATTTATGTTTTTTGCTGGAATTTTGCGCCGGCAACTGTTTTGCCAGACAAAGAGAGAGAGAGAGAGAGCGAGACAAAAAGAGTAAGAGAGAGACAGTGTGTGAGAGGAAGAGAGAGTGAGTTGTGGGAGCAGCTCAATTGAATAACAAATTGTAACCGAATACAGTTTGGGGTATTCATTATCAACAGCTGCGACAAACTCGATTTCGTTTCAAAATTATGCAAAATTCAGTCGATAAAATAATTATGCGAATTATTATTAAATCACTTAAAATTCAAAATACATATTAATATAAATTATAATAAATTATAAATTAGGCTTAATACTGCGCCCATTCAGACAGTAGCTAGAGGTTGGGGCTTGTATGGGGTGGCGGTGGAGGAGGGGCTGAATTGGATTGTGTTACCAATTTGCAAAATGCAAATGTGTTGACGTCTAAAATTTCACGCACACAATGCTGCTAAATGCTGACAGTTGGCCAAAAAGGTTGCTTAGCTGGAAAGGCAACGGCAACTTAAACCTGGTGTGAAATTTTAGACCAGTTGAAAGAGAACTTTGAACTGCACACAATTGATTTGCCAGCAGTTGCGCTCATGTTTTTATTTATTGTCGTCCTTTGATTGATTTGGCCAAGCACCTGACTAGAGTCAACTTTCAGCTGGCTAAAAGGCATAATAATGTGCGCCATTGCCGAGATCCACATCCGTAAAGAGTTCAATTTCATCTTTAATTGCCACGCCCGAATAACGCTCACTGGAGGCGGCGACTGTTTCGTTGGGCAGCGTCAGCTCCGTCAGCAATTTGCTGGGATGCACATCCGCACAGATGCTAATCTCCTCGAGGCGTGCTGGCGAATGGGAGCCACGCATGGCGACCGTTGTGTGCATTGCCAGCTGCTCCGGCTGTTGCGCTGGCCGCAATGTGTGCGCCATCAGCTCCGACTCCGGATCCGGCGCCCTGGGCTCCGGCTCCGGCTCCGGCTCCGGCTGCTCGACTTTGGTGTGACTGGACGGCTGCTGTTCGAGCTGATCGGCAAACATTTGCTCATCGTCCTGATGCTGTTTGAAGCAGAAGGCAAACAACAGGCACTCGGCAAAGAAGCGCATCGCTTGGCTGCCGGGCCAGAACTGGCCAGTGGGAACGGCCGCCAGCGGCCAAGTGTCGCAATTATATAGACCGCGGCCTCGCCAGTTTCAGTTGCTCAGTTAATTGAAATGCAAATTGATTTTTCACTTTTGGCAAAGGTCTGTCAGCTGTTTGCTAATCGATCGATGCGAGGTCGCAGCAGCTGCTTCTTGTATTTTGTTTTTGTTTTTGTTTTTTTTGTTTTTTTTTTTTGTTTTTCCTTTAGCTTAACACAATTTCATGTTTTTCGTTTCAGACAGCTTCAATTTCAATTAGCTGGCTGTTGAGCGCGTGCCTCAGTCAAACACAATTTACACTTTTCGTTGTCTACTTTTAGGCTACATATTCCACCCTACCCTCAGCCACCACAGCAGTCGCCCCCAAAACTTGTTCTCTAATGAGTTTTGCAATTATGCAAAGTTGAATATAATTACAACAGCAGCTTGAGCAGAAATTCAAAACAGAATTTAAATAAAAGCATCAACAACGAGAAGCTGGAGCTTATAAATACCCATACCGAATGCCCATCTACCCATAAACAATACGATGATAAACGCTGCCAACAATTGTTAAATGCGCTACCCAAATTCAGACCCTCGATCCCATCGTGCGTTTGGCTACACACAATACTAAGTGGGCGGAAAAGTATGCCCGATACAGTTTGTACAGTCGACACTCAAAAGAAATTCCTGTTCTCTCTTAATTTGAAATATGTGTTGGCATCAACACGAACGTTTCCGTTCAGGATTCGATTCAGCTTTTCTTTATACAGCTAATTTAATTAGGAGTTTGATTAGTAATAATACAGAATTAAAATATCGGACTATGATATACGATAGTACCAAGCTACATTCAAAATAAACGCTTCGTAGAATCCGCTTTCATGGGGTGATGTATAGTGAAAATTGTTAATAGAAATATACTTGAAATTGAGAAGAAAAAAAGTATTTCAAATTTGCGACATCATTAAATATCCTGAATATATTTTCTTGTGCAATTCCAATTGCTGGTAGTTCAAGCTAAACAGGGACTACTGTGGCATTCATATTGCTTCCACAAGCACAGAATAACAAATAATAAATAAATAATGAATGCCTTTGTGAAGAAGATTAAAAACAATGTATACAAAAATTTTTTAAATAATTTACAAACAGCAGGATTCTCTGTTAATGAATGCGTAAATATGAATACGAACGAAATGAAACAGGCTTCTCATTTATTCTGCTTTATGCTGTAGTTCATCAAACAGAAATGCGGTTGGCAACATTTTATGTGTCGCTATGTTTCATTTAAGTGTTGTGCAACGTGCTTTTATGACGTGAGCTCATTAAAATTTCGTAAACCAAAATGGGTATTATGATTATATGTGAAAAGGAATGGGGGGAAGAAATGGAATCATATTTGAATCAATTCAGTTGACTACCAAATTTAATGTTTGCGATGTGAAGTATTTAATTTCATATATTAAATGCAATACTTGTTTCCATTACAATAATATCGATAAATATCGATTTTGAAAGATTGTTTTTTAAGCATAACTCGAAGATTATAAAAGCTGGTTCTGGCATAGTATATACAAATTTGAAATATTCAATTGTTAGGAAACTTTTAACTTAAAAAAAAAAACCAACTTGTTTTCAAAGACAGAAACGCAGAATGCGACATTTTCGATCCCATAGCGTCCAGTTCATGTCCCTCTACCTTTCCGCCCGCCTGGTCAGCCGTCCGTCCGTCTGTTTCCTTGTTATTACATAGGTACGTTGCAGACAGGTGAAATGTTTACAAGAGTATTAAATGTTCGGCGTGACGAGGATATCCCGAATTTCTCTTTTTCTTGTGGGCAGGCAAACTAGAAAAATATCAATGTCATTTACAGGCCTTGGGCTAAATTGGGGGTTGCTGCTGTCAGTTGTGTGTGCGGTTGTTGCTGTTGTTGTTAGCTGTCTGTTGCGTGTATTTTGTGCGTGTGCTTTTTTGCTGCTGTGGCACATCATTGCGGTTTCACATGGGTTGCCCGGCCATTTGGCTAACTGTGCAGTATATGCTAAGGTTGTTGTTGCATGTTTATTTGGCTCTGGTCTCGTGCCTGTCAAACCAAGCGCATAACCGCAGCGAGACGCAGCAGCAACATCAACAGCAGCTTCAGTGTATCCACCCTGAATGGTGCTTGTTTTCGGTTGCACGTTTGTTGGCTGCCACGCAGCTATTTTCAATTTGGTGTTGCATAAGTTCGAGCAGCGGCCAGCTGAAATGAAAGCTGCTGCAAATCTCATTTACTCACTTTTCTACTCTATTTATGTGGTTTCTCCTGCTGGCAAATCCGTATACAAATCCGAGTAGCAGTCCGCACCGTGTGCTCCGCACTTGACTTAACCCCAAATTGGGAATCCATCCGTTTTCCTTTCGTTTTGTTTTTTTTTTTTTCGTTGCTCCCCTTTTTCGGAAATGGTTTCTGTGGCTGCCTTGCCTGCCCCTGTCTGCTGCTGCTGCTGTTGCTGTGGTCATGCCCACTTGATGCGTATTTAATTAACGTTAATTGAAATTGATTTATGTATGCAGTGTGCGTACGCTCACCCCCGTCTATCTATCACTCCCCCCCGGCCCTCTTTACCCATCCTGCCATGCTAGTCCCCTTTTTGTTGGCCGTCAATCGAAAAATATGCTGCGTGAAATTTGCGGCAAGTTGTTGAGTGTCGCCAGAGTCGCCAACATTTTGCTGCACATTGGGGCATGAAAAATTTGCGGCATCATTAAATTGATTAGGCAAAATAGAAAATGTTGGGCTTTTTGCGCCGTGGATTTCAAGCAAATTAATATATTCAATTGAAAAGTGTTTTTGCGAATGCTGGAAAAAGGTAAAGGAAAATGGAACAAAAACAGACAGAAAGCAGCTCAGTTTTTGGCCGCGTTCGATGTAGCTGCTTTTGGGTCGTTATATGCGGTGGAAAGGGGTAGCTTACAGCGTATCTTCAAGTCGAGCATTTAGGACTAGTCCTGAACGATAATTTCGCGGTGCAAGTGAGTTATCGATATACAAAGATACATAACTATGTTAAAATTGGCCCATACAAATAATAAGAATTACGCTGTTAAAGCTTTAAAGATCGAGGCAACATGCGTAGGTCCAGCTGCCAGTCATTCGTTTATCAACAAAGCAGAAAGAAGAAAGCCCTCGACTCGTGATTTTTGATGTTTTTTGATGTAAAACTAATCAAATCAACACGCGGCTGCACAACTTGGCGCTGCCATAAAATTAACGAGCGGCGCCTGGAAGTATGCAATACGTTTGCGCAATTTCCACATCATTAATTCACATTTTGTTTTTTGGCCAGAAAAGAAGCGCTGCAACGCAATTACAGAACAACAAATGTTACCAAAAGCAAACCCACACCTCCCCCTGCACCTCTGCAACCCTCGAGCCCAGCACATTAAAAGCGCTTGGCAAAACACATGTGAATGTTGCTGCTGCTGTGGTTGTTGTTGTTGTTGTTGTTGTTTTCAGCTTTTATGTTGATTTAATTAGAAAACGCAGCAGGCGCAACTCTTGCGGGCATCTCTTTTATGGCATAATTTTAGGTACTGCGCGAAAACGAAATCGCAGCAGACCCAAAAGAAGCTGCCGGCCAAAGACAATAAAAACCTAAAAGAAAATAACGAGCGGCACCTGCAGCAGCCATAGCCATCAGCTCCAAGCGAGGGGCATCCACATGCTGCACACAGTGGCGTCTCGTAAATTGGGAAATGGTATTTTATGCGTGCGCAAATAAATGGCTAACAAAAAG